TTTGCTGTCATTTCTGAGGCTTACCATCTTCTCCAGCACTTCATATGACTCTATTATTTAACTTGTAAAAGTTTCCACTTGTCTCTGTGATGCCTTTCAGCTCTAGTTTTTTGTACTTCCTTCTTTTCCCTACCAAACTTTCAAATGAGCATCCGAGAAAATTGCCTCTATTTTCTTCCTCCTATTCATTTTTTGCTTAACCATATACAATTTGGGTACCATTGTCACACTTTAGTCAAAGAGCTTTCAAGCTCCTACTAACCACCTTCTTATTGCAAGATGCAAAGGTCCCTTTTTTGTTCTTCATTTCTGCTACCACCAGATGTGTTGATACTGCTTCCTTCCTGAAGATTGTATCTAGAGTAATTGAATTTTTAGAATTTTAACCTTGGAAAAAGCAGCTAGTCTACCCAGCAGTACATGCATATGGCTGAAACTGAACACTGAAAAGTTTGAATTATTTCAAGATCCAAAAAATGTAAAAATTGGACACTGATGACAGAATAACTGATACACCATCCATTGTAGACTTTGATGTATTATGTGAACTGCTTTGGGGAAGTTCTGACACCACATCTTCAAATATTTCTGATTTTTGGTTCTTCCTGTGTCAAGATCTCCTGCTTTTGCCCTGTGCAGCCCTTCTCCATTGCAGCAGACATAATGTTGATACCAATATACATATCAGAACTTGGCACTCCTTTGCTGAGCCTCCTATTTCTCTTCATCTACTTAGAATAAAACTCAGGTTGCTTTCCTTCTTGTCTTCCTCTTTCCATCGCAGAGACCCTACCTCAGTTAACCAGCAAGACAAGCTGAGCTCTCATGGATTTGCTTTGTTTTTGTTCTGTGTGGGATGCACTTCTCCCAGATGGTTACCTCAGTGCTGTTTTCTCATCATTTGGTGATAATTCAGAGAGCTAGTTCTGGTAGCCTTATTCTGATGTTGCCATATTGTGTCTAGCCAGACTGCTGTTTTTCACAGTTACACTGTTTTATTTTCTACCTAGCATTTGCCACTTGCCTCAATTATGTTTTGGAACTTGTTATGTTTTAAAACATTAGAAGATAATTTCTTGAAATTCAGAAACTTTATTTTGCTTTTAATAGTTCTAGCACCTAGGTTAGTAAATGACCAGTAGTCAGTGCTTAGTAAACTTTTATTGGATAAACAAATGAATAAAATAAGCATATCTAAACTTTTGTCTCATTTCTAAGAATCCTTTCCCTTGTTTGTCTTTCAATCCTATTGCTAAACTACTCTTTCAACATTTTTTCTGTGCTGTGATCAAACTGGCCGCCTCATGAACCAATAAAGACAAAATTAGTCCCAAATAGGAGCTTTTTCAGTATCTCATTGACCAAACTGCCACCCAATATCTCCCTAACGATCACTCTGTCAAAGTTTAATTTACATCTCATTTCCAAGAAATCACACTACCCTTGTTGATTTTTCCTTCTTCGAATTATATAAAATGACCCTTGAATTTCATGTAATTCAAATACATATACTTTATATGTGATCTTGAATTATCTCCATTTGTTTCACATGGTATTTAGGCACTGTGTCTAGACTTGAATATTGAATATTTAAATGTGTCTTTTATGTACAATAGGCCTTCATTTTCATGGGATTCTGTATTTGTAAATTTGTCTATTCACTGAAATTTAGCTGCAACCCCAATTACCATTTGTAGTACTTTCATAGTTATTCATGGACATGTACAGAACTATGAAATATTGGGCTCATCTGACAGTCATATTCCTGGCTAACATCAAATAGAGCAACACTTTTCCTCCTTGTTTTACCTCTCATGCAATAAATGAGTATTCTGTTTGCAGCCTATATAGCACTATTTTTTATACTGTGGGCTTTTTATTGGTGTTTGCTGTTTAAAATGGAACCCAGATATGCTGTTGAGGTGCTAATGTGCCTAACTGAAAAATATCAGATCAGCTTAATTCAGAGATAATTTATAATCCTTTTGACTATTTCAATGAGTGGGTTAACAATACAGATGAAACCAAATGCCTTTAATAGAAAAAAAATAATATAAAATTATACATTGATTGATTAACTGTGGCAATGAGGGGCTAATAGGAATCTTCCTCTATTTCTTTCTAGGAGTAATGGTTCATAACTCACTAATTTAGTGTTCTTGACAATTTTATAGAATGTAATTTCTTTGAATAATTAGAATTGACTGTGTATGTATGAATACATATTGAGGTATCAAAATATACAATGTTTAAAATTTAAAAATAATAACCAGATTACTGTTAATCCTCATAAAGACACTACCCTTCGATTCAAACACATTTATCCCATCATTTTTTCTACTTTCTGAGGCAGTTCTAGGAGTCTTCTTTCATGAGAGTCTATGAAGTGATATATAGTGGTTGCTGATGCCAAATGTTATCCAGTAGAGGGGCAGGCTTATGAAATCATGCTGGTGTGTCATCATCCACCCCTACACAGGTGGCACTAGGTGACCTCAGGCTTTTCCCTAAATTCAAAATAACCCTAAAAGATAAATGTTCAGAATTGACCCAGGACACTGAATCAGCCACAACAGCACAACTGAAGACACTCATGAAAGAGAACTTCCAGAACTGCTTCCGAGCAAAGTAAACCAGACATATAAACCTCCAGTGATTTCTCTTACATGAGATTTCCAAAGTACAAATAAAGAGTAAAATCAAAGATAGATAATAAGAAGGATGGTAGGTCTTTCTCAAAGTGGAAGGGAATCAAGATAGATAGTCAGAGGAAAGGGATGGGGAGGTACAGTGGATATAAAAGAATTAAGATATATCATGGGCATGTACCAACTATTATATATACAAGGGCTGTACACACTGTGTACTGTGATCATACAAAAAAAAGGAGGGGATGAAGATATGGGGGAAGAATTAAGATGTTTTATGTACATTAGCTAACTTCTTACAGGGGATACAAACCTTATGTACTACACCTCTGTACTAATAAAAATCTCAAAGTATGTTAAAAATAATAAAATACAAAATAAGAAAAATGACAATAATAATGGTATAAGTGAATATGAAGTGAAATGAAATGTCTTGAGGGGGAATGATGGTGATCTTCTGTTGCAATAATTATTTTCATTTCAACATTCTGTATTTTTCAGTCACACCCTGTATGTGACATTAGTGTTGTTAGGGAGACAAAACAAAGACTTGTTATAATTAAATAGTTTATCTGTGGTCATTTGCCAAGCTAGTAGTTAGTAGATCTGGGAAATGGCTATCAGAGTCCAGTTTCCATTTCTCACACCAGCGGTTTTTATTTGTTTTGTTCAGTGCTGGAGTCCTAATCATTACAGATTATAGGGTAAAGGTGTATATAAAATACAAGTGTAGCTTACTGAAAGAGCAGTGAAAAGCCACAGTAGATGAGAAAATAAAAATTATGTTTTAAAAATAAATTTGTTTTATAATCCCAATTTAGCAATTAATTATATTCATCCAAAATCTTAAGCAAATATACTTCTTGGTTTCAAAGTTGAGTTGTTAATAATATGTACAAACTTAGTATTTTTTATCGTGGGAATGAATATGTGACTGTTGCCAAACCTTAAAGAATCAAAGCTATAAAATCGCTACCATGATCTTGGTTTATTTTCTGTCCTGTGTATGTGTATCTTAAACTTACCTAACATTTTTCTGAGCTGAACTCAAACCTGTTCTGGTAGTAAATACACCTGCATTCTTTATGTGGGCCTGATTTCATAAAGAGCTCTGTGCCTTTATTTATATAAAGAGATGACAGAATAAATTACAAAATCTGCACAAAATAGATTACCATGGGTCAATTTACTGGCTCTGTAGTCTCCATTGTTTAAAAAAAATGTATATATGCATTTAGACTGACACATATTATATACCGTGGGTTATACGTGGGAATTAAGACAGTTGTTTTTACATACTTTATACTGCATTTTCAAAAATAACTGGTAATACTTTTTGAACCTCCCAGGTACTTTGTTGAATACATTTGGAAACCTAATTTTGTCCCTTTATGCTGTTTCTAAGATACTGTGTGTCCCTTAAAAATAAGAATTATATCTTTTTTTTTCTATATTTGCAAATGATCTTAGCTTCTAAATATAAAAAAAAATGTCTCACCATTGATAATCCAGTGTAGCCCAGACAACTGGCAGTCAACTATGTTAAAGCAAAGATTTTTGCAGGTGTGTTTCAAACTAATAATATGATAGAATGATCTCACCGGGCTGTATAGAGAAGGGTTTTGAAGAATCCACACAGCATATCATGTTTTGTTCTTATGATATCCTCTTGACATTTCTTCTTCCCTTGAAAACAAGGAAGAAGCAAATTAACACTTCTCAACTTCCAAAAGCTGCCAGACACAAGGTTGAATGAAGAGCTTCCAACTGGGAGGCAGGACAAGATAACAACATTTTCTGTCTGCCTCGAGGCTGTATTACAAATCCTAAAGGGATAGAAAAGGGACTAAGGAGTCTTTAAAACCTATGTGTTTATTGAGCTGAAGGAACTAAATGTTTTCAGTTTATAATTCTGAATTCACTATTTCAATGTTTCATGATATTTTATTTTTCCTTAAATTAATAATTGTATATCCAGTGACTTTAATGATTGTATTTTTGAGGCACTAAACTTTTCACAAATCAAAGCATCAAGGTCCGTATATTTTCCTCCGGTTTAAAGCATGGTGATTCCATTGAGCAGATAAAAATGAATTAGCTACGTGCCTCCACCTGGGGCTTTGTTGGCATTGTCCCTTCTCCAGCCAGACTTAGTGGGTTTGACCTGCCAGAGTTCAGTAGAAAAAAGTAAACTGTTTACTAATGTAAGCATAACTCAGAATTTGTTTAAGAAAATCTTTTTTACCTCGGGTCTGAAAAGAACGCAAAAGCAATAAAGAAATTCTAAGCTTTAGACCAGTTCTTATTTTCCAGTTGGAGATTAATGAAAACAATAATTCTTTCTTTCTTCAGGAAAAACTATCAGAGGAAGAGAGAAAACACAAGGAAGCTTTGGATGATCTTCCCACAGTGGTAGATGAGGATTCAAGGAGCGAAAGCAGCAGTACAGATGAAGGAAAAGAAAAAAACAAATTGCTGTTAGAAAGATTGAAAGCTCTAGAGGTAAGAAATCAAACCATTTTTGCACGTTTAAAGAAAAATAACAGTGTTCTGCTTTTATTGGTGCTGGCTTTAAGTCAGCATAAATCTTCCTTTTTTCACTTCTCTCAGACTAATACAATCAAATGTCTGCCACTGAGATTCCTTTGTCAATGATGAACAAAAAGTTAAAATTTGCAACCTGAAAGGATCTCAACATGCTGCCTATGATTGCATTGCCTTAGAAAGAGAACATAGGCCAATAATTCATTTTAATTCATTTCAGCCCTCAAACTAGATCAATTCCTAAAATTGCATGTTCCTGAGTCATAGAACTGTATGAAGCTTCACTTTGTTTTCTTAGGATTTAAGAAGATGAATAATGTGCGGGTGGATATACTATATTAGCAGGCAAAAATGATAATAAAATATCTATAAATGTACACTTTAAGAGGAAGAACTTTTTAATTAAAAAATCATGAAGAAAGTTCAATATGTAAAATGTATAAAAGTAGTTACAGTTAGGGTGAAGGATTATTTAAAGTGATTTTTGGATCAACATAGGCCTTCAAAAGAGTTTGAAAAACACTGGTATAGTTTATTACCTGGTGGCATTTGATATCACTTCATGTGTTAATTTCTGAATTTTTGAAGCTCTTCGAAGAACACTGCAGTTAACAGTTCTTAAGTTCCATGTGCTGAAAGACTACACAGAGATGTTACTTTTCTCATGAGCTTGTTTCTCTAGGTCCCATAAATATATAAGAAGTCCTCACTCATCTTCTATAAACAGAGTTTTAGCATAAGTGCTACAGAATTATAAAACTTTTGTAATATGAAGAGGATTAGGAAAGAAGTCATGTTTTCTGTTTGGCCCTTGCAGCCTTGTCTGTGATTTCCCATATTGCTTGTAATAAGCATGTCTTTTTCATTCTAGTTTTTTCTGGAAATAGCACAAAGTATGCAATATGCTTAAATTTATGATCTTTGGACTCAGATTCTCAGGATTTTGTTTGAATTTTTGTTCAACTGTGTTCTTCATTTAAAACTGTCAAGGTTACCTGTTCTCTCTCTGTCTCTCTTGCCTCATTTGCAAAAGTGGCAATAGTAACTAACCTTCCCGAATAGAGGATTACATGAGTCATTTTCTTAGCACTATTCCCTTATATCGGTCTCTTTTATCAGCCCACTCCAAGGGTGCAACCCATTCCTATGTATTTTTTCTATTCATCTGAACACAATGACTAATGCAAGAATGATGAATAAAAATTTCAGCTAACCTACCCAAATATTATTGAAGGCAGACAGGTAACCAACTGATGTTAGATATCACCTGGAAGAGCTTCCCCTTGACAAAGGACCAGGACTCAACTATTTTGCCACAGATTCACTTACATTATCATTTGCTACAAATACTCATTGTGAACAAATAGAAAAGCCTGCTCAAGAAAGACTGATTCTCTGAGAGTTTTAAGCAACTCATGGCTTCATCTTTAACCTGAGTTAGCTGTATTTAGAGGAAGGAATAAGTTGATGTTACATGTATTAAATCATTATTTTTTATTTATGATTACGGTGAAAATTGTTCTCACTTTGTCTCATTGTCAGAGACAAGCTTGTGAAGAATATTTTATTTAATCAAGCTAAGAGGTATTGAGATATTTTAAAAATATCTTTGGCAGCAAATGTTTCATAAACTTTGGAGTGAGAAATAAACTATATTTCTTCCTTCCACAGCATAAAGCTATACCACTTTGGGCAACAGCTCCTTTACCCAGGTTTAGCTAGGTGCAGTAACTGATACCTTTAAGTGCTAAACCCACGAATTAAATTCACAAAATATTTCATTTTCTAAGCTAATTTTTTCTAGTCTAAATATCATTGCTTGTTTTCTAAAATTCTTGGCTTATGTTGTTAACTGTGGCACCTATATCTCACTATCCTCTATCAAAGAATTCTGTATTCATTTTCTTATATAAAAATCTCAGTATCTTTTTATTATGTTTTCATGTGAATTTCACACAGTGTTCAATTTTAGTTTTTAATTGACTACTTATGCTCAGTGTACAGAATCTCTTACACAGGTTAAAAACTGTTGTGGGGTAATAGTTGACAAACTTCGATTAGTGTTAATCTCAGAGCCCCATATAGATTCATGTACTTCAGCAAAATGCTCCTTTGAAAGATTGCAGGGGAATTAACCATAATGTATCAAAATTGCTCTGGCAAGATTGGATGCCCTAGCAAGATTTTAGAAAAGCAAATTTTTCTACCCATTGTGTTCTATATACATTAGTCACTTGGTTCCTGGTGATCCAGGAAACAGGAAAATGATTTTTAGGGTGATAGAAACACTTCTTTGTTCCTGTTCCCCAAACAGGTCCCCAGAATGCATAGAGAAGGAGATGAAGAGTCTGCCTCCAACTATATACATTAGTCACTTGGTTCCTGGTGATCCAGGAAACAGGAAAATGATTTTTAGGGTGATAGAAACTCTTCTTTGTTCCTGTTCCCCAAACAGGTCCCCAGAATGCATAGAGAAGGAGATGAAGAGTCTGCCTCCGATACTGTGTACTGGATAAATATGACAATAATTTTTAATAATTATTAATATTTATTGACAATAACCTAGATTATATCTGGGAAGCTCCTGACTTCAATAATTAAGTATATATTTCCCTGACATCTCATCCTCAACCTGAGGAAATACTCATTAGGTATTATAAAGTTGAACTAAACTAAACAACCTGAGGAAAGTTAAAGACAACAGTCTTTAACCCAGGACTTTTGCCTCTCATGGTCATTTCTAGGGATTGCTTTCCAGTTGCTTTCAATTTGCAATCCTTTGTCTTCTGGTGGAACCAACCTTGGTTCCACAATCCAGCCATACACAGAATGTGGAGTTCTCACCGTACATCTTTAAATAACTCCGTTTCCACTCAATATTTTGCCTGCCAGACATTCTCAGTAGCCCCTTTCTGCTCAGTCTCCAGTTCCTTGCCCTAGGAGCTTGGATAGCTCCTTCTCTCCTCTCCCTTCTCCCACAGCCATCTTTGTTATGCAGAGTTTTTCAGCCCTGTGCACTTGCTTTGAAGGCTTGTTCCACATCATTCCCCATTTCTGAGCTCATCAAAATATTTTGCTACTAAAGACATTTACCTTCCTAAAGGGAACTCAGAACTGTCAAAGTAATGCACGTACGAAACCAGAAACGCGCTTCTTTCTTCCTTTTGAGATTGTTTCCTCTGCTGAGGACATCACTGTCAATCATTTACAGTTATCATGGAGTGCCAGTTGGTCATTTGCCCTCATAATTCAGCCACAACTACCCACTGGTGGAAATTTTAATCTTTGTCCTAACTTCTGGTTGAGAAGTTATTTGATATATTTTATATCAGTGCCATTGGGTCACAAAGGTGATCTGAAATCCACTTGGCACAGTTTCTAACTTTTAAGTGCCAGTGTGTGGTATACAATATGATTTTTTTGTTTTGTTTTTCTAGAGAAAAAAAAAAACAAAACAGTGTAAGGGTACAAGTAATACAGAACTACAAAAAAAAAAAAAAAACAGTAAGATATCACCAGTTAATAGATTACACACTATCATTTTTGAAACGGTTATTCAGGTCACAGGATTAAAGCATACAAAGTGAACATTCAAACAGTGAGACTGCAAATAGTTGTGTTCAATGATCCAAACAAAAATATTAATATGGTCATCTATTTAACACACCTAAACACAATTGCTGTTGTATCCTTTAGGGCACTTTTTTTTCCCTCTCTTTATTACAACAAAATTTACATATTTTGGGTTTTATTGCTCCCATAGATCTTATTACTTTTTTTTTGTAAGAGAATAAAATCAAACATGATAAAACAAAGCTGTCAGTCAAAACTAAGGATAGACATAGCACATGATGTAAAAACAGAGTACAAGGTTATCAACAATGGTTACCGTAATACCTGTTACTTCCTTAAGAAGAATTGTCTATCTCATTAGGTATTATAAAGTTGAACTAAACAGTATAGAATAAGACCAATAAAACCTAAACACGATAAACCTTACAAAACTTTAAAAGAGGATAATAGTCAAACCAGAATGGCATCAATGTGAATCTTATTGCCTTCAAAGTAGTTGCTGATACTCTGATACTTAATACTATCATACATATGATTTGTTTTTAAAGATTGGATTTTCAAGGTGTCCACTTCAGAAACTGTTTTTTGACTTAGAAATACAGCTCATTGTTCTTACCAGCACTGCTATGTCACACTTGTCTTCTGTAAAAGGATTGCTCTTTTCTTCCAACCCACCCTGTGTCCTTGCTTGGGGCATCTTGCACATCTAAAGAATCCTTTGAGTTCATCTTGAATTTTTGCTATTTTCCACTCCTGGGTATCTTCCTAAACCCCAGGTTGGTTCATAGCATATAACTTGTAATACACGATTTGCTTGACTCTAGGCCTTCCCTCTCCCTGTTGCAGTAGCCCTTTCTCTTGAAGCATGGAAACTTTATATCTCACCCTATATCAAACTGCACATTCCCTTTGCTCAGTCCTGACTAGCACAATATCTCTGATTGCCACCCACTAGTGAGAGGGAGAATCAGCCTGTGATCACTGGAGAGTTCTGAACCACCGAGTAAGTGCTGATAGCTATAGTCTCCAGGTCAGAAGAAATTGGCCTCCTTATGAGAATGGGTTTTCTGTGCAGAAAAATATGACACTCAAACATGTTCAGGTAAAAAACAGCCTTTTCTATTCAGTTATGTCTCTGAAAATATGACAAAGTGTTAAGCATAAGAATTTTGCTAATCTGTCATTCTTGTTTAAAGTTAGGTAGTTTAAAATAGTCAAACCTGGCTGTACATCATAGTTATATATACAACTCATTAGTCAATATCTTCTATAAGTCAAAGGTTGTTCAAGGTGCTGGATCAATTCACTTTTTATGGTCCCCAATCCAGTGAGTAGATAACATGTGATTAAATAAATAGACAAATAAGTGCCTGTGAATAATAAAA